AGAGAGAGAGAGAGAGAGAGAGAGAGAGAGAGAGAGCTGTCAGAGCTTGAATAAGGAGAAACACATCAACACAATAATGTTGATCTAATGAGAGGACAAAACAAGATGGACAGACAGGAAAAATAGATTGATAGAAAAGAAGAAGGAACTATCGTTGGCAGCCTCCAACTACTCACAGGGTTCTAGCAGGATACAGTTAGGAAAGCATAATTTTCACTTAATAGTTAAAAACCTCATCGAAGAAAAACAGAAGGAGAGAAATAGATCTCAGGGTGCAATAGAAAAACCTGATGAGCCAAACACTTAAAATGTCTCCTTATCTTCACACTCAGAAACTTTCGTCTGATAAATGTGTGATAGCACATTCGTGTCACCACACAATCATCACAGAAATTCTTTCACAGACCTTCATGAAAACCCCCCAAAAGATAACACATTTATAGCACAACAATATAAAACGGCTTTCTAACTTAATAAAGGGGGAAAAATTGGTTTCAGAAAAGACTTACGATTTTTCTCATAGGCCTCTTCAAGCTCTTGGAGAACAACATAGGCAGAGAAGAACCGGAAAGGGAACTGTTTGCTGTTGATTACAGATCTCTGCAGGAAGAAAAAGTATAAGTCAGAACACAGTGGAATCAGGTGCTGGTCAATTTTTGGGCACATAAAGTTATTGGCATTATCTTGAAATTTATTTATTTATCTGGCTTTTGTCTGATGAAAAAAATAACTACCTGTCCAGTACTGACATAAGAATGTACAGCCCCTTGCAATGAAGGGGTTAATGGGTTAATGTCACTCTTGAAACCCAATGCAATGAACATTGTTTTTACAAATAGTTGGAAATAAGGAAAAGTCACTCCACTGGATTTTAAAAACAAGTATGTGGATTCCTGTTTAAACTGGGTTTTTTATTAAGTCTTGACTCATATGCATGGAATAATTTAAAATATTCTGTTGTCATTTTCACTGGCAGCAAACTGTACCCATAATAAAAACCCCAAAAATGTATTTAATAAGCAGAGTTTAGAAAGTGACCCAAGCAAATTGGAAAAAGTCAACATTAGTAGTGCTACAAAACAAACTTGATGAAACACTGATATGATGACAACTTTAGTTTACCATGTCTAAAAATATCTTTCCCTTCTGTTAAAAGGGATGAAGGAATCCACATAATATGTCAGTGAGAGCAAAAGTGTCAAAAGATTTTAGCACAAAAAACCTCCCCCAAAATATCACCTGGTCAGAGAGTCGACGCAGGACAAAGTTATGATGTTTGGGTGATATTCCAGCTTTAATCAAGTTGCGCAAGTTCCGCAGCATGGCCATGAATGGCAGTTTCTTGTGATCTGTGGATTAAAATGAAATACTTGTTTTCATTTTTATGGTTTAAAGGTTTGACTCTTTGCAGAATCCTAATACGACGGCATGGGCCTTGTTCACAATTTTCCCTCTTTCTTGAATGTAAATTTTTAGGAAAAGACAAATCTTAACTAAAAGACAAAGAATGGGAAGAAACCCATATTCAACAAGGATTTCTACCTTTAAATCTCACATTCCTAAATGTAAGATACTGTTGGAAAAACAGCAAAAATAACTTTACTTGGTTTATTTGTTTTAGGAATCTTGAGACTCTCTGACACCAGAGCAGCAGCTAGTGGGTGGTTGACAGGTGCTCTGGTGTGGTTTATTCTTTCTTACCAAACATTGATCGTTCTTATCTCTCCTCCTTTTTTTCTTAGTAGCATGTTACTCTCTGTCTCCAGTAACACCTCTAATCTTTGGCACTGATATGACCTATTAGTGTTGTAAGTGCTGAATGTTAAACTTGGATGTCCCGCCGCCTCTTAAAATAACCTGACAGTGTTGATAGGAGTGTTAAACCTACACCACTTCACATTTTCACATTTCATTTTTGTGAGTGCTATAAAACTTTTACTAAAACTAAACTAAGAGCAGCGGCTCACCTATGAGGTCCTGCCAGGTCTGTGCCTTGTTGCCCTTGAGAGAGACTTGCGTCTCCCAAGTCTCTGGCACTGGAAGCTTCATCCTCTTGCCGGCCCGCTCTTCTTCAAACGTGCCTGGCAGACGACTCTGGTAAAAGTCCTCCATGGTAAGAGGGTACCTGAGATAAGAAAATATGAAATACATAAGATATGACATGAAAAGAAGAAAAATAATTTTAAAAAAAGAGATAGAGAAAGAGGGTGACAGTGGAGAGAGGGAGAGAGAGAGGGAGAGAAGGAGAGAGAGAGAGAGAGAGAGAGAGAGAGAGAGAGAGAGAGATATAGA